CTGGGCTGCGGGGAGGGTTGCAGGGGCAGCGAGGACCCCGAGCTGCGGGGTCTGGGCGCCGGGCCCAGGGCGCCCACCAGGAGCTGAACCGGCCAACCCAGCCGCACGTGGAAGCGGGGCCAGCCCGCGACGCCTCGGCCTCCACGGGGCAGCTGGCAGCCCGACTCCCACCCCGCAGCTCCGGAAAAGAGCCAATGTGGGCAGTTTTGCATCCGTGGTCATTTGTTAGAGTGGCGACAGAAACCGTGTTCACGATAAAAATTTTAGAAGCGATGTGAAAACAGAGAGAAAAAGAACAAAACCGTCGAGGGCCCTCTCGCCTCCAGCGTGTCTTCCACCGCGCGGAAGTTGCAGGCCGGACCTCACATCTGTGTGTCACGGAGCATTCTGACCGCCAGCCCCTCCCGCCGTTTCAGACCAAGGAGAGAGGCCCTTCCTTGCCATGACGGGGAAGGTTCTGGGTTCCGGTGTCCGGCCGAGGGGACCCCCAGCAGGCACTCATCACCCCGGCGCAGTCAAGGCCAAAGAGGACTTTGCCAACCGAGCAGAGGCCCGGAGTGGACGCGCGTGTCCACAAGGAGTCGGTCCCACCTCTTGGAGACGGGCCGTCTGCTCAGGGTCTGACGTGGAGGAGAGACCGCGCTTCACGCGCGCGTTCCCCGGGGGAGCAACAGGACACGCAGGGCGGGAGGCGGGAGGCCGCCTGGGGAGGGCCACCGGCAGCGACAGTGGGGTCATGGCGGCGGAGGACACGAGGCAAGAGCATCCCGGCCCGTGGGCGCCAGCTCGCCGAGGCGCGGAGAGGCCCCGGCCTCCCTGCTGTCGCCGGCACACACGGCGGCGTCCTCCCTCGCCTTGTCCGTGAGCCCCCCTCGCCCGCGGTCGTCGGGTGTTGCTGGGTGTGAGTGTCCGCGGCCAGTGATCTCGGGTTCTATTTCCCGAACGTGTGCGGTTCCCACAGAGCTCGCGAAGCGCCTGGAACCTCTGTTCTAGCGGATAAGACACCACAGGGCTTCGAGCCCCGTCAGGCCGGTCTGTGAGCAGCCAGGCGCACCTGCTGCCTCGGCTGCGCCTCCCTCTCGGGCCCGCCGGACCGGGGGATCCTGCCTTCGCACCTCCAGGAGCAGCCGTCGGAGGCTGGGAAGGAGCCGGCACCGGCCTCCTCCGCACGGACATAGCGTCCATGTCTCTCCCCCTCACGATAACAGGAAATCAAAAGATCAAAGTCGGTAAACGAGGACCAGGCATCCCTCACCCTGTGACTAGAGTAACTGCATTTTAAAAAGATTTATTTATTTATGCACACAAGAATTGGGGTACGGGCCAGAGGTGTGGGGTGGGAGGGCTCCCCAGAGAGAGAGGGGAGAGCAGGACGGGTGGTTCCACTGAAACACAGCTGAGGGGAGCAGCGGGGAGACAGGAGAGGCCTGCTGCGCCCTGTGGGTCACGCCCTGGCCCGCCGGGGATCGAACTCCAGCTGCAGTGGCTGCGACAGCTTCATAGTGCTGCGCTTAACCCCTTGCGTCCCCAGGGAGCCAAGAGTAATCACTTTTTTATGACAACTCGCCGTGGCTCTGTCCACACCTGCTGGTCCCGCCAGGCCCTCGGCTGAGTGCCCACTTCCGAGCCTGCCGGCGGCTCTCAGAGTAAACCTGCC